AACTGTTACGAATGGAGGTTCAGGTGGGCAAATTCTCACGACCTCACCCGACCCCACTTCAAATGACGGTTTACACTACACTAGAAAAGAATCTCAAACTTGCATATGGTCAAGTTTTAAGTGACTATCATCCTAAACCCTCGACCTTAACAGCATACCAAAAATTTGCCAGCCATGTAGTTGGCCATGCTCACAGAAACTGGGGCTGAAGACCAGCCCTCCGAGTCTTGTGACCTGCGCAGCTTCCTTCGAGGCCAGGTGTGTTAGTGGGGAAGGAAGTCGAGGGGTTAGACTTGTTGGGGTTGCTGTTAAGGAGCTCTAATTAAGTTAGTATAGTAAGTAAAGCCCTCTTATTTACTATATACCAACATTCTGGCTAACTTAACTTAAGTTCTTGCAGCAACCCAGTTGTTGGAGTGTAGGGTTTTTGGGCTGCAGAGGTTTCGGAGTGTACGTTTTGGGGGTGTAGTTTTTTGGGGTGCAAGGGTTTCAGGGTGCAGGGTGTAAGGTTTTTAGGGTGCATGGGTTTTCGGATGTCGGGTTTTGGGCGTGATTTTAGGTGGTGCAGGGATTTTGCGCTGTAAAGTTTTGAACGCCCCTTGTAAGGCGGAAAAACCCAGGGCACTAATCCCCTCCCCCTAATACTAAGCCCCCCCTCACCCCCTAAGATTAAATGTTCCCATTGTGGTATATCATATTATGTTATATTGTGTTATATTATGTTATTTCATGTTATATCATATTATGTTATAGTATATTACATCGGAAAGATTTAATATTAGGGGTCATGGGGGGGATTTGATGTTAGGAGCAGGGGATTACTAGGCTTGGGGGTGGAACTTCAGGGTTTAGGGTTTATATGGTTCAAGGTTTTCGGATCCAAGTTTTTGGTTCAGAAGTTGTAATTCTATAAAACGCGGACCAACATATTGTAATCGCTACCTGGGCCGGGCCGGGGATTCGCGATGCTGCGTTACTTATAACTTATAACCCTGCAAAGCAGATAGCGACATCTGTTAAAATGTTATGCCTATGATGAATAAGTCCCCTTGATCCAGAACCCGAAGCCCTAAACCCTGACGCTTAGACCCTAAACCCTGACCCTTGGAGGCTGAAGATCCAGAGCTCTGGCTTGGAGTCCAGGGTTCAGGGCTTTAGGATTTAGAGGAGAAGGGGTGTAGAAGTAGCACTTTTGCCAGTACGGGCAGAAAATGACTAGAATGAGGTACAGGCAAGCTGCAAAAAGGAGTGTGACACTGGTGGTAGTACGAGCAGAACAATGAGTAGAACGAGGTACAAGCAAGTTGCCAAAAAGTTTTCCTGAAGAAGGACCGATTTCCGGTCCCCCACTTCGCGAGATTCGGGCTCCGGATTTCGGTTCCACTTCAGTTTCGGCTGCCTGGCGGCCTGGTTTCGGTTACGTTGTGGCTGCGATTTCTGTTACGGTCCCGGCTAGTTCCCGTTGTGACTCCGAAAAAATGGTTCACGTTGCGTCCGTTACACCCGCACCCAAACCATGAAAGCCCCTGAAAATCCCAGCGCCTCGGAATCCCACGCTTGCTTCTTCACTCTTGCTTCTTAAACGCTCCATACCAAACAATTTACCATACAGACTGCAACATCCAAAGCCGCGAAGACATAGCTTATCTCTTAGACTCTACGCCCTGGACTGTATACACTCTAACACATGCAATCCTGAATCTTTTGCCGTAGACGCTTTTACCTTCAGCTTAAGGACCAAGCACCAGACCCTAAGTTAAACACACCCAAACATTAATTCCTACACGGAACACATCGGAACACCCCCAAAAACAAAGTTTCAGACCCTAAACTCTAGCAAAAGCTGCGCCAGGCTTCATCCAAAGCCGCTCACCCAGCTTGGATCGACTGACGCTGGTGCCTACGACGAACTTGGGGGAAGTCCTCATGCTCAGTTGACTATGGGGGAATGGAGCAAGAAAATGAAAAGATGTATAAGCTTGGGATTCCCCGTGCGATTCGGGTTAGGGCTAGGGCATAGACAAGAACTGGGCATGGAAAATTAAGATGGAAGGTACTGTACCACAAGATGTAAGGTTGAAGGCTCAGTCGGGAAGCGGCGGAAAGGAAAGAACAAGGAAACGACTTAGTGTTTAGGGCTTTGTTGAGCATGGGGCAAAGTAACAAGAATTAGGAAAGCTAGTACCTTGCTCACAGTTTAGGGTTCAGTTGGAATTGGAGGAATGCTTAATGAAATGGCAATTACTCCAGGGTTTCCAGTGTAGTGCCGGGGTCTCGGGGTTTGTTGCGAATTGAGAAGGGACTCACATTCAGGCAGAACATGTACACTTCTGTAGGGTTCAGTGTCAAATGCGCTTAGTGGTGATTGTGGGCAAGGAAGAGGTGTTGGGGTAAGGGTTTGGGCTTAATTGGGAATGGGGGATTAGGAAACAACGTGATAAATTCCCCAGGTACAGGGTAAAGGGTTCAGGGCTCAGTTGGCAATGGGGTACTGGATCTGTATAGTAGGTCTTAGATGTTCCTTAGGATAGTCATTGAAAGACTTCCCATAGCCTATTTCCCAATTCCCCACTAAGCATGAGCAAGATGGTAGAGACTTGCATGGAACATGGAGCGTCGTGCGTTCCTTTCCAGGATTCTACGCGTAACTGACGTGTGGCAAGACAGGGGTAACAAGATTCAAGGTTTGAGGGAGTGTGCTCTACATAAATCATAGACCGCTTAGTCCTTTGCATAGGGATCGCAAGACGTGGGGGAAGTGGTATTGAGCGAAGGCGCACCTTCGAATCATAGCTAGCAAGAGAGCACGCACAAGGTGTGGAGCGGTTCGGGAAGATGAGCCATAATATTCGGCCGGGGAAGCATTCCTACTAAGAAGCCCAGCCATTTTGTGGGCCCGTTTAATATCCAGATTCCTAGCCATGCGCCCCTTCTTGAGTCTGCATGGGTCCCTATGGGCACTTTCGAACGTTCCACGCCTTCGGATTCCCCAAGGGCATCCCACATTTCTGGGTAGCGGGTAGCTGTTAAGGAACTTATGTAGCAGTTAATATGGTTCCTCAATTATGGTAAATGAAACCCCATATCCCAAACCCTAGATCCCTAAACCCTTATCCCTAAACCCTAACCCCCTCAACCCTAAACAGCAACCCAGATTTCCGCAACTTTCCGGCGGCTTCCAGGTGGAGACCTTGGCTGGATCCTGCCAGGAGTACTTCGCTCACCGGGGTAGCTTCCCGACAGCATCTGTTAGGGGGTGGGCCCCCGCCTGGGTATGTGTATATTTATATATATATATACATACGTATATATGCCGTGTATAATTTGTATATATATATATACACCGTGTATATATATATATATTTATTTACATATATTGAAGCTGTGATATCTGCATATACGAAATGAATTAGTTTCTGGGGTTCAGGGTCTGCACATGTAAGACACACACATAAATATATACATATATATATATATATGCACATATACATATATATACACACGCATGTAGCAGAGAAACTGAAGTCACACTTTCTCGTTCTTGTTGCACTTGTTTCTGTGACGCTTGGTATGTAATGATCGAAACTGCGCCCGGGTGATACATACCTAAAGGTCTCGAAAGAAGACAGTTGCATCCGCTGTTTTCCTTGAATTTCATTCCAGCATCTGTTGCACTGCCAGTCCCCTTCTTAGAAGCCCAGCCTAGGGTCTCAGTGAGCGCGCCTACTACCTTTATGCTTGAGCCAGTACTGCTGACCGATTTTGGGGGGTCCTGCGAAGTTCCTCAAATTAGCTTGGCATGCCTTAATCATCCAGGGACTCAGCATCAGGTCGCACATGGTTCCATCGCCGCAGCCATAACCTTTTTTCAACCACCAAGATGACGTGTCCCTTCAGGTATCCCGCATGCCCAACCCCCCTCCCCCGCCCCCTCACACATCCATAAGGAGAACATTTACGCCCTTAAACTACCCAGCCCTTGCATGACAAGCTGCTGCTGAGGCGTGATAGCCCGGGTGGGGGACGCGCTGCCTGGCGTGGTCATCATCAGAAAGGGCTCCATACGCGTGGAGGCGTTGAGCGATGTGATTGCTGCCTGGCAGGGTTCTGTGAATTACCCCTGCCTCAGGCGTGTGCCTACTTGCTTCAGACATGGGAGAATCCCAGACTTTTCATCTCAGCATCCCTTCCAGAAACTGCGAGTCCCAGGAAAGCAAGGGCGCGGAGAAGATCCCCGTGGGGGAGCTCTGTGAAGATGATACTTTTGGCACTATTGGCTGCCTGAAGAAGGCTGGACTTTGCATGTTGGACTGACATGAGCTTTTCCAACTAGCAATAGGACCCTCATTACTCGACTTACTCCCAAGAGGAGCCCCTCCCAACTTTTGGAAACCCGCCCAGGGCAAGTTTCGTACGACCCTTCGACAGATGCCCAACGGGCACTATCATGTTACGTTGAGGAAGTACGCACTAGTATGATATTCAGAAAGATGGGGTTCAGAGGTTTCTGTTTTGTGCCGAGGGCATGGGCCTTGCAATTGCAAGTGTCCTTTTCCATCTGTTGCCAATGAGTTCCATGAAATAGCAGTATGTCAGGGGCTTCTGGCATGGGACACAGAATTTGCCACTGCTGTCGCTCATTCCCATTCAAATGCCTAAACCCTCATGATGGAACCTGTTGAGCCCACTTCCCCACAAGTTGGGCTTCGGGCACCCTAAAACTGCCTCCACCGTTAACCTGGCTAAGGTCCTCCCTACACAATCAACCACCCTGAACCTTAAAACCCTAAACCCCAACACCCTAAACCTTCCCCTATGTTTCAGTAGCATTGTGCAGGCCCAGTCCCAGTTCTCCTACCGAGTGGCCTCGAAGTTTCTTAGGGGCATTCTCCTGCCCGCATCTGCAGTGGTCCCAAAGTGGCTTGTCCTTCAACTGGAGGTTGCGGCAGCTGCTGGGTATCTAACCGCTGGGGAAGTCTGGTATATCTGCAACAGGGGTTTCCCTTACTCGCCCGCTTATACGAATGGTCGCAAAAGGAACCCTTGACTTTGGATTTGAGAAAGTATACTACAGTAGTTTCCATTTTCTTTCCATTATCCCTATATATACCCTACATAACCCCAACAGAACCCCAATATTACCCCGATATATCCCCAATATTACCCTACTATAACCCCAAGATTATCTTAATATTGTTGGAATCAGCTTAGGCTGGCCCCTGTGCTCAATGCGGCCTTCCTACCGCAGGAACTTGAGGACGAAGACAGGCGCCTGGGTGGCCATTTGCAGATTCGGCACGGTGAACATAGCTCACTACCTTGAGCAATCCCCTCAAATTTTAAAGTTCGCGAGGGCGCTGGCTATGCAGCTTGCAATCAGTGCAGTTTCCGAGAGACAGACCTGGAATTTGGGACTTGATTTTAAGAACTTCCGGGCAGGAGCAGAACAAGGAAATAGCAGATCTTTAGTTTCCAGCAGCTGGACCCCTGTGGGCGGATCTAGGCATGCGGCTTCGCACGAGTTCTGATCGCTATGTAGACGCATGCGCGGATCATGTGCTGATATCTTTGGGCTTACAAGTCCTGTGCTCTAAGATCCAGCACTGAATTTGCACTGCGAAGGGTAAATCTTAAACCACACTGTAAGAACGATGAGACATCCACCTGATGTGTTCAAAATCTGGGTATGGGGACTGACTCTGCAGCTGCTGCTCACGCCGAAAATCACGGTGCCAGCAACACGCTTGCCTGTATCGCGGATGCTTGCAGAAGGTTTCCGTTTGTTTAGGGTGGTACAGCAGAAGCCCCTTAAGTACATAGAATATGGTTTTGGGTATATTCTAATAAGATCCCCATAGTCTATCTACTTAAGGGGGACTATAAACCATAACTACACAGCGGCTTCTAGTGTCGACGTGCTACCGCTGGCCCTTATTAAAGCATTACAGAAGTCAGCTGCCTTTTCAAGATCTGGAAGGCTTCCAAGAAAAAAACTGGGCCCCAACATGGACCTAAATAGTATCAGCCTCATTACATTGATTCACGAGCTTGAGCCCTAAACCCTATAAACCACAATATGATACTCTCGTTTTTTCATATCATGTTCCATCTACATTCTCAATTTTGATTCTCCACTCCCTCGACCCTATATAAGCCCTAGATAGAAGTTCCCATTTAACATTTCCATGTTCTTTTCTATGTGATTCTCCACTGTTGGGGGGGAAATCTCCCTAAAAGCTACATGATCCCTTCAGAACCCCTGTATAACTCCTATATCGCCTTATGTAATTTTCATTAGGGTGGTAACCAACCCTAAACCCTCAAACCCTAAACCGTAAACACCACAGCCCCAAACTTTCAATGGCTCAGGTTTCAGATGGTGCTTTTGGAAGAGTTAGCGCGAAGAGTTGTCGAAGAGGAGGCCTTAGGAGTATTTGTACAGGATATATATGTATAATTGTATATATATATATACGGGGTGTAGGGTTTATGGTTTAGGGTTGTGGGGGGTCATATAAGGCTGATATACTTGACATGACCAACTGGGAAGCATGGGGGGTTTTCGGCAATTTTAGGGTACAGGGTCTAGAGTGCTTTCAACTTTGCTACGGGCTTCTGCGGCTAGGATTGTAGGATCTTTTTTTGTTCCAAGCTTCAGATTGCTTGGTCTTGCTTCAATGATTACGCGAGCTGCAGTTAAGCTCCGTGCATGGGCTGATGTCATGAGTAAGGACAGCCCAGCATACCGTGCCTTGCCATGAAGCCCAGATAGAGGACAAGTCCCCCTGAACCATTAAGCAGGGCAGTGAGTTTCACCCGGTGTCCAGGGGATTTCTCAACTATGACCTGTTTAGTGAGAGGATTTGGGAAGCCCCAACCCGCTAAATGAATGGGGACCCGATAGCCATCACCTAACTACCAAATCCCATAATGGGATGCGGGGCTGGGCTAGAGAAGATCTCCTTGTTATTTACTGTTAGTGGAAAAGATCCTTCCCCGCCTCGCACCCAAGGTTTCTGAAAGGGGTTGTGGGATTCAGGGTTTTGGCTCGGCGGGGTTAGATTATGGACGTCCAAGATAGATCCTTGCCGTGGTTTGCAGCACCGGAACAAACTTAACCCGTAAGAGATTCCATGCTTTGGTTTCCAAAGCGGGAATCTAATCCCTCTATAATCCCTGTATAGTGTATTCCTTCATTCCCTTCTAACCCTAAACCCTTAACCCCCTACATACCCTATATAATCCCCATATAGTATGTTCCCTTATTCCTAAGCCCCAGTAAGTAAGTGCTGAAAGATTTCCTCCATCCACATCAGGATTTCCGCGTGCTTAGCTTGGAAAATGTTGTGGCTTGCTTCAGGGTTTTCGAGTAGAGGGTTTAGGGGTTGAGGTTTAAGAATTAACCTGTGTTTTGGCTGCCTGCACAATCACATGTACCACTACCCGGCTTTGCAGGTTGTGGTCCACATTGACAACAGGGGCCGAACCCAATCCTCAAAGAGGCGTTTCCCAGAAAACTATTTTGGGAAACCCCCATAGAGTCCCGCAGCATTTGAAATTGAAAGCGGCCTACCTTAGTTACGCACTAGAGGAATCCCGAACCCTAAGCCCTAAACCTTAAGCCCTAAACCTTAAGTTCTAAACCCTAAACCCTAAGCCCTAAACCCAGATCCCAAGTAGATATTGAGGCGTCAAGGTCATGTACCTGCCTCGTTGGGCTTTGGACAGCAAGCAATGATAAGACCACAAGGGGACTACTGTAGAGTGTCGAAAAAGCAGGAGTTACCTACCCTATGATCCTAACATATCCCCTCAGAAATACTTTGCGCACCTTGCGTGTGAAATATACTCAAAGCCACCCCCAAATTCTAAGCCTCAACGTTGACATCAGAGGCGCGTATGCTTGAGCCCACGGACATAGGCGTGCGGGACACTCGGCATTCTTCGGTGTCCAGGAGTTTCGGACTATGGCTTTTGTTCTGGAATGCTTCAGGGCTGTAGGATTTGGGATTGAATGCTTATGGTTTCTCTTCTGGAGCTTGGAGCATTCTCTCATGCAGATGTTTGCCCTTTGGCCTCCCAAAATGCAGGTGTGCCAGTACCCACCAGCGAATGCTGTACTCAACGTGGCGAAAGAAAGTATGGGCCGCATACTCATTGTTGGTTCGAGGGAAGAGAGTTCTCCATAGTGACGCAATGTGAGCATGGGCCCAAGGACTGGCTTGTTGGTACCCGGATTTAGGATGCATAGTTAACTGTCTTGCCTTCATTGCTTGCATTCTTTTCATGGGAGGCGTACTTCGAGGCAGAACCAATCAAGCCTTTACAAGGGCAACTCTCGACAGTTAGAGTCGAGGCATCATAGGTAGATTCAGGTAATACTGACCCTTATATTGGGGTTGTATTGGGATGATGGAAAAGAACATGGAAACTATAGTATATTGAGGTTATGTGGGGATACTGGAAAAGAAAACGGAATCTATCATAGTACATTGGGATTCTATGGGGACAATAGAAAAGATTATGAACACTATTATATTAGTATATTTGGGTTATATTGGGGTTATACCCTGGGAAGATGCACACACAGTTTTGCAGCTTCGGGTCATCCCCGTGCGAAGATTAGACAACCAAAGCTAGTTAATCCCTTCCCCCTCTGAAAAGTAGTCTTCAGGTTTTTTAGGCACAGGAATTTCTTATTTAATATTGGATTTAATATTGGGGGGGGGGTTGGGTGTAGGGTTTAGGGTAAGGGATTTCCAATTACCTCTTCACTGAGGATCAGAGACGAAGAGGCTTTGTTTCTTGTAGCTGAGGTTCATGACGTATTGACAAATTCATTCTTGCCCTTGTTGTTGTGATAGGTCGTACACTTAACTCTGATCATGCCCAGGGGGTCACGTAGTTTGGTTGGTGAAGGGTTCTCGGTATCTATGCTAGCACACACTGATCCCTAAACCCTGAGTGCTAATCGTTATGCCCTCCAAAGATTTTTGGAGGAAGGATCCCTTGTGAACACTCCAATACGTTGGGAATTATTGCCTGTACCACACCTTCCTCTACCTCGCCTGCGGAGCCATCTGAGCTATAGTCTAAAACCCCTCGTATCCTGCTTAATAACCCTTATAGTAGTCCCTTATATCATCCTCATAGAGCCCCCTTTTAATCAGTTTAGACCCTAAACCTCTCTACCATATATAGTTAAACCCTAATGGTATTTATTGCCAAATGGTCAATCGAGTCAACCGATTTATTGCCAAATGGTCAATCGAGTCAACCGATTTATTGCCAAATGGTCAATCGAGTCA